TAAATTATTAATTAGAGTAGTTTCATGCAATGTATAATAAACTAACATTTATATAAGAATTCAAAATTTAAAAAGTATTAAATAAAATACTTTTTTCTTATACGAGAGAGAGATATAAATCCTGAAAAAATGCATTAAGTTTTATGCTCCATAATATTGTCTATTTAAGTAATTACAGTGTAAAAATTTAAATATATTTTAATATTAATAATTTATATAAAAATTCGAATATGTATGTGTGTGTGATTGCTACAAAAACTGCTTCAAAGTCGCTACAAAATTTCGTTATTATTCGAATATAGAAAATAAAAATTGATAAAAGCATTACAGAAATACAATTTACATTAATAAGCGTTTTGTGATTAATGCAGATAGAAAATTCATAAAAGAATTCTTCTTTTCTTCCCCAAGTAGACTTCCGACCCGCAAAGGCAAGTCAAAGTATCATATAAATTGAAAGGATTCAACGGTATGTGAAATATCAAATGACTCTAAATGACTCGAAATTAGATTTAGCTTACTGTCAGTACAAGAGGTATGTTCCAAAATTGACTGCCTGCACTGAAAATCTATGTACATGTAACGTAAACTGTCGCATCTGCAGTAGTGGCAGTAAATTTGGAACACAGCCAAGAAATTGGCTGCACATTAAAAATTAGGACTTGCGCAGCTTTGCAATTGTTATAATTCTTCAATACGATTGAGTCTTACTTTTGATTCTTTATAGATCTAAATGTATAAACCAATCACATTGAAGAATTTTACAACAGTTGCAAACTTTCTCTGCTGAACCCACGAATGTAAGATTCGAAACAAGATCTTTTTCTTCTGATTTCCCGTTTCTTGGTTTTTTGACTCAAAAAACAAGACCTTTAGCTTCACGTGTTGAAGTAACGCAAAACTGACGCAAGATTACGTAAGATGACATAAGGTCATGTTCTTTAGGTTAGAATTAAGTTCCGTATTCTTGTATGCATTGGTGTACGTTGTGTTCTAACCTAAACAGCCCCCGATTCATCGTCTTTTCTTCGGCCACAATAATTCTTACAAGAACAGTAAAGCCAAACAATACGAGAGAAAAGGATTTATGAGAATTTGCGACAGCTTCAGAAAATGCGACTCGTGACAGCGATGAGTTCTAAGTTACCGGTGATCCTACGGCAACGCAGTGCAACCACGCGCTTGTTCCGCGGAAACTGGTCGCCTTTGGATTATCAAACACCGTTGTCGATTTACGCCAGACTGGCACGAACACAATGCCCAAGTTATAGGTCAGGATTATTTAGGATCACTCGAATTCATCCCGCATTGACGTCGGTGAGATTTTTCACGGCGAAAAAATACTCGGATCGAGACCCTCCAAGGTAAATTGAATAAGTATATATATATA